TTTTGACAATCTTATTAACAATATATCATTGAAATGCTGGATTTACGAATATTATGTCCTTGTTAAACTCATTTCTACATCGTAAGCATCTGTCGTAGTTTGCACTATTTATTTTTCCATGTCTCGCTATCGTTTGTATACGTTGTCATGTATAGTTTAACCTGTCCATGTATTTCTGTGAGCTATCTACTCGTATATGTACCATGTTCTCTGATGTCATCGGTTTTTTATTTGCAGATGGATATGTTAGGAAGTCCTTTGGAGCTGACACGAGCAAATCTACTCCTAATCAACTTCGTTGTTTAAACAAGGTGTAGATAGTCATCTTGACCTTACCTCACGCCTTTTACCTAGGCTATGGTCCCGAGTCACGTTTGCACTGTTGCGCTACCCACTTTTGCTCTGAAGTCTCAGGTGCGTTTTTTAATTGGAAAGTAGTGCATTTGCCCAGTGATGCAGTTTCTTTTGATAAAATTGTCGATTTTGCAACAAACAGCTATTGTTGTTGTGAAGTTTTATAAATTGCAGCTTTATTTTGCTATCATTCTTGCAGTTAGGTTTTAAAGTTTGGTTAATATTTACTTCCATCTTTAACTTTAGGACTTTCCCCCCTGCAAACTTCATCATTAGGGTTGACACAGTTTTATAAAATTGATATCAGAAAATTTTAAGTTTTCTGACGTTTACTCTTCCTCTCTTCTTATCCTCCTCCTCCTTCTCCTCCTCCTTCTTCTTCTCCTCCTCCTCCTTCTTCTTCTTCTTCTTCTTCTTCTTCTTTTTCTGCTTCTCTTTCTTCTTCTTCTATTTCTTCTCTTCTTCTTCTTCTTCTTCTTCTTCTTCTTCTTCTTCTTCTTCTTCTTCTTCTTCTACTTCTTCTTTTCTTCTTCTTCTTCTTTTTCTTCTTTCTTCTTCTTCTTCTTCTTCTTCTTCTTCTTCTTCTTCTTCTTCTTCTTCTTCTTCTTCTTCTTCTTCTTCTTCTTCTTTCTTCTTCTTCTTCTTCTTCTTCTTCTTCTTCTTCTTTCTTCTTCTCTTCTTCTCTTCTTCTTCTTTCTTCTTCTTCTTCTTCTTCTTCTTATTCTTCTTCTTCTTCTTCTTCCTCTTCTTCATCTTCTTCTTCTTCTTCTTCTTCTTCTTCTTCTAACCCTCGAGAAAAGTATCGCAGAGGAGCAGGAGATGAGCTCAATGACTCAAGTTTTGTTTAATTGTCTAATAATGATAGTAATAACAACAACAGATAATTTGATGTGCGAGGTTGAAGTGGGGGTTGAGGGCGGGGGGGGGGGCTCTCAAGTTGCTGTACCAGGTTCTGACGCCTACGGACAATACATCCACTAGTGAACGGTATTGCTTTCATTGTTCTTCCTGTTCCTGCAGAGCCATCATTTCTGGCTATTTATATCACATGTATTTACAATGGAACCAGCCAAGCATGTTTCCGCTTTAAAAAGTCATTATATACCAGAGGCAACTTTACGGTCCGATGTGTTTAGGTTTGATATTTGACCTATTTTGGGATTAAAACAGTTTCTGAAATCGGTGGCGCTATTACAGTTGATACGAGTTATATCTATAGTCGGGAATTCAGGGGAAATAGCATATTTAAGATTTTTTATTTCAGGGGTGGTTAGTTTTTCGGTGTCTGTAGCTTAAAGGCAGCACTGGGTTTACGTTAAAGCTAAATAAGATAGAGCTTAGTGCCTCACAACCTGTAGGGGCATCAAAACATACTTTGTTTTTCATAAATGTAATTTTCTTTTAATACATTTTAAATAAAATTTTCTTTTAATATATTTCTTTCAATTTCAAAAATGATTTCACTTGTAACTTAAATCCTTTAAGGGGCTTATATAATATGTTTTCTGGAATATGCAAACGTTGGTTTCCACAGTGTTATTGAGAAGGCGACCGTTGAGTAAGCAGTGGCAAACTACTGGACGTAAACTTGCCTAGAAAAACCACAACATAAAAAAAAACGCTTGGGTTGGTTCTGCAACGTCTTAAAAAGGTTACGCAACTAATTTTAATTTGCAAGCACATTCTGTATTATTTCTGCTGCTGCTGCTACTACTACAGTAGTCTGTTTGAAAGGCGACCGTTGAGTAACCAGTGGCAAACTACTGGACGCAAACTTGCCTAGAAAAACCACAACACCCGAAAAAATGCTAGGGTTGGTTCTGCAACGTCTTGAAAATGATACGCAACTAATTTTAATTTGCAAACACATTCTGTATTATTTCTGCTGCTGCTGCTGCTGCTGCTACTACTACTACTACTACTACTACTACTACTACTACTACTACAGTAGACTGCTTGATTAATGCCCGTTTGTTTAAGTGATTAACAGACGGTTTGCACTTATGGGAGTGTCCCGAGTGCTGTGATGTCGATTCTTAATTCAACATTAAACAAAAGGTTTGTACTTGTTAAAACCAGTTCTTAACTGGTATACAAGTGTACTTCCGTATCACTTCTTTATAAGTTATAGAGTTGAGAAAATTAAAACTGTATTCACTACTCGAATTTAGCATTTTAGTGTATGTATCTGTGTGTGTGTGGTTTACTGATTTACTGATTAAAAAATCGACATAATAGCACACCGGGCAAACCCATAGAGGCTCCGTCTCCCGCAGCAAATGTCTTAAGGTGTAGATGCTAACTGTTCCCGTAGCACACTGATTATACAGACGTCGTTCTCTTCATCTCATCCGTCCCTCCTTGCCCGATCCATGCTTAATTCCTCGTTCACACATTCTTGCATATGTTATTTCATCTAATCTCGTGTCTTCTGTTAAAAGTCTTTCAGATATGGTCTTCGGAATATCTCCCTTGTCCAGTACAAGTGTTCCCGTAGCTTTCGCTTTTGTAGCCAGAAGATCCGCTCTTTCATTCCCTCACACTCCTGCATTTCCTTGAGATTATATCAACGTGATTCCCTGCAATGTTTGCGTACTGATGCAAGGTATCCACTCATGCTACATTAGTCCACAATGCCGACTGAGAATCAGACACATAACTCCTCTGGTGACTTTGTTTTCTGCAATCCAAATCAGAGCTGCAGTGATTGTCTCCCCTTCCATTCGCATGCTTGAAGCTGTAGATAAAAAAGCTCCATTTTGTTCTGCCACAATCTTTCCCTTCATTCTAGATGAAAATCCCCAGCCAGATCTTACACCCCACTGAACAGAACTATCGGTGTGCACTACTGCATCATCTAGCCCAGAATTTCCATTCATCAGTTTTACCTCTAACTCTGCCATACTTTTACACTTTACAGTCTTTTCCTAACGTGATAATGACCTGATGGAAACTGCTTTTTGTGGGTGTTCGTATCGATCCATTCCTGCCCCCTGTGTATTTGCTTGACCGAGGCCGCCGTCTCGATGGTATCTTCAGCTAGTGTCATCCATGAAATTCCTCTTTTCAACCGACCTCCTCTTATATCGTTCAGGTTACAACGCAGCTGATGCCTGTCGTCACTGGTAACTCGCATATAGGCCTTGGCTTGGGCCAGTGACAGACTAGACTTTACCCATGTCAGCCCAAGCTTATACCTCATTGTTCTGACTGGGGTATCTCGCATGCAGTCCAAGACGATTCTCATTCCTTCATTTTGAATCCGTTCAAGATTTGAACACCGTGAAGAAGATGGGGTTAATATTCCTAGACCATAATCAATTACAGAAAGGACCCAGTGGTTAAACAATAAAACCAATACTCTCTGTTTCATGTGTGTCGCCACCATCGTCGTTATTCCCGCCAGGCCACGCTTGCATTTGATCACAGTCTGCTCCACGTGATGTTTGCAGGACAGACTGAGATCAAAAGTCAAACCTAAGTATTTCAGCTTATCTCTTCTTTCAACATTTATACCCTTCATGGATATGCTGGGCAAGTCTTTCTTTCTAATGTTGTTATTTAAAGAGCACCACAAAACACTGGCCTTCTCTGGGTTTACCCTTGTCTGTTCACACCACTCCGTCGTCTCGTGTAAAGCACTTTGCAAGTCTCTGGTCATGTCGTGCCTGTCTGGCCCGCTTCTATGCACTAGGACATCATCTGCAAATGTCAAAGTTCGCCCTGGTCCAGGACGGTTAGGCTCAACGTGATTGACTCAGGTCTGCGTCCTTGCCCACATGACCGATAGGACAGTGTGCTAGCCACTGCACCACCCTGGCTGTAGGTTCATGTTAAAAACATAACAATCAAATGAGTCTTTCCTCATTACATTTTTAGTAGCAGATGGAGAGCACTTAACCTCCTTATGAAACGTATAAGCGCCCCTGGACGTAACAATATCATCAGCAGCAGTGTAAGCTATGTACATAACCATAGGCAATCCTGGCTCACCATATCTCCTGACTACCAGAATCAATGATCATGTATCTGTTCTTTTCGCGTCTGTGTCAAAATATTACTATTATATCAGTGCCAAACGTGGACACTTACATCCTCTAATGAACGTAAAATTATGACAACAGAGATGAAATGCCTTAGAAGAGCTGCAGGAGTTTCAAGGAAAGACAGAATACGAAATCAGACAAATGATAGGAATACAGCCAGTCTTACAGGTCATCGAAGAACAACAAATGAAGTGGTTTGAACACTTAACAAGAATGCTCTGGTACTATCTACCACAGCGAGCCACACTGAAACGTTACAACGGGTATAGAGCGAGCGGAAGACCACGAAAAAATGGAGCGATGGCATTCAGAACAGCCTTACAGAAATAAACATCAAAATATGGAGTGATTGCATTCGGAACAGCCTTACAGAAATGAACAGCAATCTTAATAGTGCTCTTGACAGATCTCCTAAACAAATGTTCCCCCCCCCCCCCCCCAACACTTCACTGAGGTTCAAATTGGAAGAGAAGAAGAAGAAGAAGAAGTCAAAAGTATTTACAAAGAGAAATTACAAACTCAGCAAAAATAAAACGATATGATTTTATGACGAAAGTCTAGCTTGTTTGTTTTCTAAGGGTAGTGGTTCCGGTTCACAAAATGTCAACAAAGCTCGTCGCTAATTTTGTGGTGTTCGTGCTTTTAATAAATAACCTACTATGTCACAGATCAAATGCATGTTCGTTATCGGGATATTTACACTGTATTTTGTCTTTTAAATGTTGCCCAGTATGTTTTGAAAAGGTCTCTAGAGGACTGGGTGCGTACGGCCGGTACGCTTCAAACAGTCCATCCAGTCAACAGATCTGCAACAGCAACAAAGAATACATTCTAAACAAATCAGATTGCCCATTATATGTGGACTTTCGGCAATGGTTACCGAAACTGACACAGAAATTTATAAATATTTTCCCCATTGATTCAGAGATACGGAATCACGTCAGAACGGTTAATAATGCATTGTTTTCAATTGTACAACCGGTTTCTTTTAAAAACCAGGTTAGATTAGTGATAGCTGCTGACGATGTACTGTCAGACTGTCTTGATTTAGGTTTTCAAGTAACACAGTCAGCTTTATTTATTGACTTTATTAGTGGGAATGCCAGAAGTGGTCTGTTTTCACATACACTAGCTCATCGGTACGGTGGCCACCAGTTTGGCTTCTGGGCGGGTCAGCTAGGGGATGGAAGAGCTGTCCTACTGGGAGAGGTGATCAACAGATTTGGAGAAAGATGGGAGCTACAGCTGAAAGGATCGGGCACCACACCTTATTCGAGAAGTGGTGATGGTCGTGCAGTTCTTCGGTCATCTGTGCGGGAGTTTTTGGCTAGCGAGGCCATGCATTATTTGGGTGAGTTAACTCAATTTGTACCAAGAAACACAGGATATACTTTAATTTTGGGAGGAAAGGTGCATTATAACCTGCAGTGGTGCATTATGACCTACAGTGGTGCATATTGACATGCAATAGTGCATTTTAACATGCAGAGGTACATTATGACCTGCAGTGGTGCATTATGACCTGCAGTGGTGCATTACTATCTGCAGTGGTGCATTACTACCTGCAGTGGTGCATTATGACCTGCAGTTGTGCATTATGACCTGCAGTGGTGCATTACTATCTGCAGTGGTGCATTACTATCTGCAGTGGTGCATTATGACCTGCAGTGGTGCATTACTACCTGCAGTGGTGCATTATGACCTGCAGTGGTGCATTATGACACACAGGGACCAGAACTTATACTGATCATAACCTATCTATATCCTAGACGTAAGTATTTTGAGATGTGAGTACCGTCACCTGTTAAAGACAGTTTACAGTGAGTACTGGTACTTTTTTTTTTCTAGAAAATTTTGTTTTCAAATGTTAGAGCATGTCTGCCTGGGAGGTGAGAAACCAACAGTCTGCATACAGTAATCAAGACAGGGAAAATGGATATGTACACAACATGTTAAGTTCTGGAGCAGACACATACAAACAACCAGAAAATAATGATAATGTAAAAAAAATTTTAATTTTATATGAGCAGGCTGCTGCCAGTCCTCTGACCAGCAAGCTACTTTGTAATGTTCTGTGGGTTAAGTTGATAATGTTAATTATGGACAGAGTATCCATACCTGGCATGACTGTTCAGCTGAGGGCTTAAATTACCAACAAAAAAAGGGGGGGGGGGGTAGTTTTATTGGGCTGCCACTAGCACAGTTAGCCTTGGTTCTCTTCATTAGTGGCTACAGAAAGGCATGGCTATATCTGAAGTACATTTAGTTCTTGAAGTATTCATGTTTCACATTGTATATCATTTGCTTCTTGTATTTCAGGTGTCCCAACCTCTCGTGCGGCTTCACTGGTAGTCAGCGATGATACTGTTATCAGAGACCAGTTTTACAATGGTCATCCTAAACCAGAACGAGGAGCTATTATTTTACGACTGGCGCCTTCTTGGTTCCGAATAGGATCACTAGAAATTCTCTCTCGTGCTGGAGAAATTGATTTATTAAAGTCCTTGTTAAATTTTATCATTGGGACTCATTTTCCAAGCATAAATCCTGGCGACACAAACAAATATCTGATGTTGTTTGATGAAATTGTAAGCAGCACAGCTAAACTGATTGCCAAGTGGCAAAGTGTTGGTTTCACACATGGTGTATGTAACACGGATAATTTTAGTTTGTTGTCCATTACTATTGACTATGGTCCATTTGGATTTATGGAAAGTTATCATCCTGGCTATGTTCCCAGTACTTCAGATGATGACAATAGGTACAGTTACAAAAATCAGCCAAATATAGGTTTATACAACCTGGAAAAGCTGAAATTAGCGCTTGATTCTGTTTTTAATCACAGTATGTCCCACACAGCACAGTTGATTTTGAATGGCTATAGACATAAGTATAATAGATATTTTATGCAGTTTTTTGCAGATAAATTAGGGTTCCTGTCTGTGAGACAGCAAGATGAAGACTTGATTGCCATGTTTCTGAGAATGATGGAAGAATGTCGAGCTGATTTTACCATGTCATTCCGTAGCCTTAGTGAAATACCATTTCATGATCTTATGAATGGAAATATTGCTGATGACCACTGGTCATTTCTGTGCCTAAAGAACCATTCTTTATTCAAAACATTTATTGTTGCATATAAAGATAGACTTCAGTTGGATGATGTTTCTGATTTGGAACGCCAGGCTAGGATGAAGAAATGTAATCCCAGGTATATTTTAAGAAATTGGATGGCACAGAATGCAATAGCCAAAGCAGAAAGAAATGATTTCTCTGAGGTACAGAAGTTGTATCAAATTTTAAAGCAGCCATATATCACACAAGATGAACCAGAAACTGCTGGTTTTGCCAGTGAACCACCTGAATGGGCACCATCTATCAAAGTTAGCTGCTCTTCATAGTAGTCAAATTCTTGACTTCTCAAGGTTTTGAGTTCAGTTTCAGACTCCGTTGTCTGGCTTTTGAGTGCAGGTATTTAGAAGATTTCTGAGGGGGTCATTGCTAGAGTTATAAAGCTTTGGAGATGCTCAAGTATTTTCTGTCCTTTTAAATGCAGGGATTCATCTGTGAAATACTGTTGGTGTCATATGCAGACGTGCACACCTCATGGTTTCGCCATGTGTTTACCAGAAACTTCTTTTTAGCATTCACCGGCCGTAAACTCCGGCAGAAAATGCAAGTTTTCATCCATTTCTGGACTTACATGCACATTCGCTTTACATATTTGGCTTATTTGTATGCAAACTGTTGGTTCTTTGCCTCGTAGGCAGATGCACTTTAACTTCAAAAGAAACACCCCTAATTAGTCACCATTTACGACATGCTTGTTGGGGGGGGGGGGGGGGGGTGGGGGGGGGGGGGTGGTGTCCCCCCCCCCCCAAATCGGGTCCTGGAACCCACACAGGAACTACAGAACCAGGTTCCAGGACACATTCCACACCATCCTTCTTGCAGCTGAAGAGGAGGCAGAAGGGATTGTAACTCAGTTGTAGTTCTTTCGTTTGCTTGAAAAAAATTATCTAAATCTGCAATGTTGTCTCTGTCTTTTGTAATTCACTTAGCGGCCCATAAAGTTTTGCTTTCCTCCAGTGTCTCTCTTGGCCAGAAGTTTTGCCTGGAAATGTTGAATATTGGACGGCCTTTGAGGCTGAGATGATTGGTTTCAAGAGCAGATGGCAGAACAATCAGCACTGGATATTCTTTCTAATCTAAGTTGATGTTAAAGTAAATCAAAGGACCCCTTTTCCACACCTTATTTGGCATATGGTGCTAAATATGTTTTATAGACCAATCAGCACTCGGTGGGGGACATGGTCAACATCACGCCGGCTACCTTTACTTCCCACGACTTCTCTTATACCCATTTAGGGCTGGGTTGACCTGGCAGCCAAGGTAATTTATTTTGAAAAAAGTCACACTTTGTTTAGATTTGAACCCACGACCTTCAGGAGAGTTTCTAACTGCTACACTTAAGCAGCTCCCTTTACTTCCCATGACTTCTCTTATACCCATTTAGGGCTGGGTTGACCTGGCAGCCAAGGTAATTTATTTTGAAAAAAGTCACACTTTGTTTAGATTTGAACCCACGACCTTCAGGAGAGTTTCTAGCTGCTACACTTAAGCAGCTCCCTAAAGAATTGTTACTTTGACTAATAAATGTTGGGACTGTGGGAGTTAAATATGAATACTGCGGTACCGGGAGTTAAGAGTGACAGCTATGCCAATGAGTTATTGTGAAAAGTGTTTGAAAAACATAGTGCAGATCACTTAAGGCGATCTCAGATGTGGCAAATATCTTTTATGAAGAACAACTTGTTTATCCCGGGCAATTTTTCTTGTTTAAATTCTTGTCTGGATAAGAGGAATTTCTGATAAGAAGAAAATTTTCTTAGGTCCCCAATAAGTTCTCCTGCCAGGCCTGTACTGTGTTAAGGTACAGTATTTCTTGTGAGTAGAAATGAACTATCTTGGAACAGTCATAATATCTGACGCAAGATGTCTTACGAAATTAGACCAAGAGTAACCATGGCAAAAGTGGCGTTTGTCAAGATGCTAAAGATAGAATAAAAAAGATATCAGATTATAATGAGAACAAGTGTGTCAAAGTGCTATATGAGTTGAGTTGGGTCAAGTCAAAAAGTGACATCACAACACTAGGCATTCCCATGCTTGCTCCTTCCTCATCTTCAGCAGTCAGCGCAGAGTTCCAATACTGATGGCACCGGTCACATCTAATTATATGTGCATCTTGCCTTTCCTCTGAGTGTAGTGAGTCAGCCAGACCCTCTGGTTACACCCAGATGCCTCATTCTCTCCAGGCCACAATAATATTTTATCTCTACTATGTAGAACCTGTATTGTAATATGTATGTAAGACAAGGACAATATGTAAAGCTGAAAAACATCTACTGACAATGGAAATATGGTTTTTGTGAATTCCAAGAATAAAATGGAATGGAAGAAAACAGACTAGAGACAGATAAAAGCTGTAAACTAATTAGATAAATCATATGAGAAGGAATTGACTCAAGAATAGTGTGACAAGTGGCAAGATTGATGGGGGAAAAAGTAAGAGGAATACAGACAGATAGATACTTTGGCCACCTGGCTGGGCTGTGACAAGAGCACTGTTCTGATCCATGATTCTAGTGATACTGTGGGGTGGTACTCTGGGGACTGTCTATGCTTATTATGGTTTGTATATTGTGTACATAAAGATTTTTTTTTAATTAAAAAAAAATTCCATTGTTTTGGAAAGTCATTGCTTGCAAACAGAATGCAACAATGTGACAAAACACATTCATATATTTAATGGGTTATAAAGCTAGATGCTCAATTACCAAGAAATAACTAAATTCAAAATATAAAATATTAATGACACAAATAAAACAATTTATTAGGCAACCCGTTTCATGTAATAAATATATCTGAATTAATGCAACACATTATCTAGTTTCACAAGTATTCATATCTCTCCCCTCCCCAGTACTGACGATCTGTCATCGTCATCCTCAGTATGCCATTATTTGCCACAAAGGGCTCACAATCTAGTCATTCATTCTGTCTCATGGATAGGATCCAGTTAAGAACCTTTGGCTTCTCTTAGAAGCATTCGTCTTGCTTCGGGTTAAACCCTACCAGTCTCTGACCATGGGAGCTGTCATAGGTAGCAGCCAGCCCACTGGCCAATCAGCAAAGTGTGTTTGATCCTGCGGTGAACCAAGAGGTGCAAATATAAGTATATACTCCACAAGAGGTCCCGGACCAGGTTCGTAGAAATCACGCTTACATATTCTCAACTTATGACCTAATGTGGCTTACGACCATAAAACACAAATAAAAATAATAAAGAAAGGTAACTTTATTGGTTGGGTGAAAATGTTCCCAGAAGTGATGCAAAAGAGCACTTATAATGTATTTTTCATATTATGTACAATAATTATATGTATATAGGTTAAATGTGTGTGTTATATGTACAATTTTTAAAACATGTTTGAATGAAGACTTTAAAAAAATATAAATTTCACTACGACCTGTTTGTCTGAACAGAACTCGGTCAGATGTCGAAGAGACTGTATATGTGGTCTGTAATTTATGTTTGCCTGGTCTAAGGTACTTGTGTTTATACTTGTTTCTTTGTATAATTAAAAGATAAAATTCTCATTTATTTCATAAAGTGGGAGCAGGGTCATGTTTAGAGAACCCTTGTTTTAACTCAACATCTCTTGCCCTAAACAAATATTACTTGAATAATTTAAATTTACATGTATTTCATTGCAGCATTTTATCATGTCCCCTGGCCCGGCTCTCTAGCGTAGTTGGCTAAACCGGATTGCACGAAGACCGGGCGATGAACTCCTTGTGGTCCGGGTTCAATCCCGTGGGGTAGGCAGGAAAGCCACATTTCTCCCAGATTTACGGTATTTACAATGGAATCAAGGCCGAAAGGTTGCGATATCCATAATACCGAGCCTAAGGGTTAACAACTCATGGCTTCTGGATACTAAAACAAACAAACAACAACATGCCCCCTGATAGCTAGAGAGATAAACACATTAGAAATGAGAGTTGTCCAATGTTATGTGTATTCAACACTGCTTTATGTTGAAGAAACTTGGACAATGAGCAGGCAATTAGAAAATTTAATTGAATCTCTTGAAATGTAAATCTAAAGAACAGGTTGTATTTCACAGGGGAAAAAATAGTCCAATACAGATGTTCTGGAAAGGATACGAATAAAAAGAGAATTGCTAAAAGAGATAGGAAAAAAAAAGAGAACTGAAATACTTCGGTCACATTAAGACATAATACACTTTTTAAAATCATACTGTAGGGAAAGACTGAGGACAATTGTAGACAATGATATAAGTGGGAGGACAACATCAAGAGATGGACAAACAGCAGTCTGAGAGAGTGTACAACCAAGACAAGAGACAGAGTGTGTTAGAGATTCATTGCAGCCAACCATCAGTGTGGAGATGGCACCTGACTGAAGTTCATTATATGCCCAGTGCACTTCTTTTCTACGTTATTTCGGCTTAACCCATGAGCACATAAAATCCCAACTTTGATACACATGTTTGTACAAAAAATAATTTACAAACATTTAAGACCATGTGTGCACATGAACTACAGGAAATGATAAGACATTGTGGTGTTAGAAAGTGGAAGAATGGGCCTCAGTTTGAATAATGGGAAGACAGGAAGTAATGGTGGTATCAAAGAAACGAATTATTCCTAAATGTGTAATAAAAGTCGATGGTGTTATTTTAGGACAAGTAGAGACATTTAAGTATCTGGGCACATGGATAACATCAGATGGAAGATGCATAACTGAGATAGGAAAGAGAATAGGACAGGCAAAAACTGCTTTCTATAAAATTAAAAGCATCTTGTGCAATATATCCTTGTCATTGAGAGTTAGAAAAAAAATTCTTGCTTGCTATAAACATCCAGTTTTAACATATGGTTGTGAATCCTGGACAATCGGTAGGCAGGCCAAACAATTTCTAGAGGCCTCTGAGATGTGGTTTTACAGAAGAATGCTTAGAATACCTTGGACAGCCAAAAAAAGCAACCAATAGGTTTTGAAAGAGGCGGGAGCCCGAAGACAACTTATCACAGACATCAGAAGGAGACAGTCATCATTTTTCGGCCATGTTATGAGAAGAGGGAAAATAGAATATGTTGTGATCACTGAAAAGATCTGTGGAAGGAGGGATAGAGGAAGACAACGAGAGAAAATGCTTGACAGTCTTGTTGCATGGCATGGAGGAGTGTCGGCACACGAACTGATACATGCTGCAGGAGATCGCAGAATATGGAGAGGCATGATTGCCCACGCGAGTCAGCAAGGCACCTGATGATTATGATGAAGTGCACATATGCCAGGAAGGATAAAAGATGAGACCATCATATAAAATTCATTGTTAGAATTAGTCTCATCAAAATCAACTAAATTCCTCACTGTATCTATTTAAAGCTAAATCCTATCTTCTCCTTCCCCATGTGGATTCTTGTACCCTATTGGGGAAGGGGTACACCCATCATTGACACCTTTCCGTCTTTCCAGACGATAGTGAAATACTGCACTATGAGGAAGCATAGCCATGGCGATGGCGAGTGTGACTAGCAAGACCCGCCCATGTCAAGAAAAGTCTTCCACAATCATACAAATAAGCCAGATCTGTAAAACGGAAATGCGTGCAGCACTCTGAACAACCTTCCACTGGAGTTTACAGCTGATGAAGACGAAGAAGATACTAAATATACACATTTACTTTTTTAAACTTTTAATATATATTATTTTCAGCAGTGTGTCATCTCTCTACTTCCCACTAATCAACTCTCCCCGGCCACACACAGTGTCACCATGCCAACTATCTGTGTCATGTACAATATTTTTTAACAACCAGATTACACATATCTGGATTATCTCTTTAAATTATAATTCTATTCACCATTCATATGTAAAGCTTCTCCTTTGTCAGATGATCCTTTTATTTATTATTCCGATTTCTCCGTCCCAATCTTTTCATCCGAGCATTTGATCGCCTTTTAAGATCTTCCTTGCCTTCCCTATAAAGAGATCTAATGGAGTCTTCTTTAGGCACTTGTGGTATTTTGCCCTCCTTTCGCAGGTATCTGAAACAAAACAGAAACATATAGTTCATTATTAACCAACCACCATGACACACTTTGATCAACTGTGATTACTGGGACGAATACAGCAACAAAATACTAAGGTCCTGGTGTGAGATATATGGCCGGGGGTGGGGAACAGCACCCCCCCCTACCCTTTTTCCCCAACAATGTCGTCATGGAAGATCTGAGCTGCGGATTTCATTTGGAATGTTTTTTGACTGTGACCAACGTGGTGTGAACAGTAGATTCAGAAATTTGCGCGTCGACTGTCGCAGCAATATTGGTGGTGCCCTTATGTGATTAATATTCATCGCGTGCACAACTGCTGATCTGTTGGCGACTTCTGCTACCGTCGATGATGAACTGCATTTCTAATGTCAAACTGTTTGTGTTAGCACTTCTGATGGCTACCGTATGCTTTTAATGCGTGTGTATGCTAGTGCATATGCTGAGACAGCAGTCTGTCAATCTTTCCACAAGGGACTGCGACAAACATTATGTGTGTTTTTTGTTGGCACAAGAACGGAGCAACTATGGGGTGACTCATTTGCTATGAAGCTGAAACTAAGATTACCATGAAAGATCAATAATTAATTAGGGGTTTGATCAGATCGTGTGTGTTGGGTAAAAAGGCATAGAAATCGCAGGGTTGCTGCTGACCTCAACGTAATGTGCCTACTTCCCTTTAAGAATGAAAGATGAAGGGTACTAACAGGCAACATTCAGCTTTGATACTTAAGCATTTGTGAGATCAGATGCCTGTGTGCATTGTTGCGCACATAAAATATGCCTTAGCAGTGGGAAATCGAAAAGATTAGCCTCATGGCACTGCCCGGGCAAAATTTGGAGTTAAAAATCTACCCGAAGTACTTCAGGATCCTCGCTGGTGCTACAGAGCTTGTGCACTGTGCTGAGCTTCTTCGGACTCAGTCTTGAGTTAGAAGAAGAAAGAAGCACTTAGGGGTTACTACTGCCTGTGTGCCTTGATGTTGATCCATTGTTCAAACATCAAACTTGAGCATTTAAGAAATTACCTGAAAAACAAATCATCAATCAGGTACCGTCTCTGTAATGAAGGTTGGCTGCAATGAATCTCCAACACTCTTTATCTCTTGTCTTGATTGTACACTCTCTGACCACTTCATCCATATCTTGATGTTGTCCTCCCATTAGTACCACTGTCTATTCTTACTCTCAATGTTTTCCTCCGGTATAATCTTTAAAAGCACATTATGTCTTTTAGGGTGGCCAAAGTATTTCAACTGGCCAGTAATTCTCTTTTCATTCGTAGTCTTGTCAGAACCTCTGTATTGAACTGCTTTTATTTCCATGAAACAGAACTACTCTTCTGGATATTCACACTTGCAGAGACTCAATCTGAATATACAATACAGAAAAGACCTGCGCAGTCTCAGTGTGAAACCATTCTACTGAAAAGATAGCAAAATGTTTCTGTATGAACAGAAAAATAATCCCAGTTGAGTTCGGTCAACAACTGACATACAACATTTGGGACACCCCTGCAAGAACTTTGTTCTCGTCTTCAACAGTGAGTTGCAATTGCAATGGTACTAGCAGCAATCTAACTGTATGTCTACACTGCCCCCGTCTCCTGAGTGTCAGCCAGATTCCCTGATCTCCCCCCCCCCTTCTTTTCAAACCGTGAAGATCTATGTGTTCCTCAGCCCTGTTTCCCACTGTTCCTCCGCCCTGTTCACAGCTACATCATGCATGCACTGCACTTGATACTATCTTCAGCTGGCAATGCAGAGAATGGGAAGAGGAGAAGACAAGGAAATGGAGAGAAAGAGAGAGGCACAGAAATAGAAGACCAGGAGGTTGGAGAGTCAGACAAAAAAAAAACATAATGTTAGTGACAGATGTATTACTTGATGGCAAGATTGGTTCCTCCAATGGTGACAGTATATCTAGCTGGTGTTGCCAATTTGTACAACAGGTATGCAAGCGCCACATCACCAAGTCCGCCTGAACGGAAGGGAGCGATAACCTTCTCGCTAAAATTCCAGTTCTCAAGATATGGCACAATGTCAAAGCCACTGAAACATCAAAGAGAAAACAATTTCATTGCTAGTGTTTGTACACAGCACATGTGGGAGAGGGGGGAGGGGGGGGGGGGGAAGACTGCCACTTCCTTTCCCCAACAAAAAAGTTAGCTACATTTCCTTTACAGGACGCTGCAGAACTGTTGTGGTTTTTCTAGGCAAATTTCATGTTCAGTATCGTATATCAGAAATTTTTTTTTGTATAAATTCCCGGTGTACCTACAATGGGGTCCTGAAACCCACACTGTGAGGTCGGTTATTTTGAAAAAGGATACTTAAGGCAAAAACTTACGCTCTGGTCAGTTATTAGAAAAAAAGCATTTAAGGCAAAAACTTACCATCTGGCCAGCGTGTAAAAGGAGCCAAACCAAACTGTGGAAGTTAGTAAGTGAACGGCCACCAGAACTTTCCCATGCTCTTTGTATGTCTTCTTGAACCTCTGATACAATGTCAGTTTCTGGACTGGTTCTGATTCACTACTATTAGTGTTTTCGACAGGGGGGTCTGCTGCCTTCAAGTTTCCTTCCAATGTACTTTTGGCTGCTACCGAAACTTCTGAATTCCGTCTGGTTATTCTGTCTTGATTTTCATAATGAATTCTGTTGGAAGGGAAGCCCCTCAACCCTCTATATGATGTGAAACTGGCTGAATTTGAAGAAAACTGACTAGACCCTAATGAATCTCTGAATACTAAGGCACTAGAAGGTATACTCTCTGTTAGCCGTGAGAAATGGCATTTGTTTCTGGTCGCACTTAAAACACATAAATTCTGATTTGCCAGAAGCTGTCCCTTTAAGGCAAGGTTACATATATGTGACTGCCTCACTGAGAAGTCCTGCAGTAGAATTCTGGACAATTTTCCCAGGTTCATCTTGCGTGAATGTTATAACTTACGTCTTGGATGTAGCAGTTCAAAAATACTTCTGTTGAGTGGAGGAAAAAGAAAACATTAGAAAACTTATTCTTTCCACACAATATACCTCAGGCTAAGCAAATAAATATGCCTAAAACTTCATTTTTTTCATTGCTCTCTCAATATGGTGCTTACGCTTCATGTCCCGTTGAAAAAAAAATGCTTTAACATGTATGTGATAACCTGCATTTGTTCTTTATATCACAGACCCTTTGTTGGAAGATTTACTGTCTTTATATTATAAATACATTTGCTTGTACAGTAAGCAGTCTCGGGACTTTATCTAGTTAGAGCCTCATTCAAGTTTGAAACCAACCCTGTCTCCACTCCACATAAATAGAAATCATCTGTGTGTGGGAATCAGATTCTTCTCTTCTACACTGTTGTAAACAACAATGGTGACTGCACAAAATAAGTCAGAAAAAGACTTGCTTTAGCGACACAGAGGCTAAACAGCTTGAAGAACCTATTTAAGCACCTGCAAGCAAGTTAAGATTTTGAGATCATGCATCCTCTCCAAACAATAAGAAAGAGACAAAAACTGTTCTTTGGCTACATGATGAGAAGAGAGACAGTGGAGAACATTGTGACAACCGGAAAGATCAGACGAAAAAGGGGTAGAGGCAGACCCAAGAGAGATGATGCTGGATGGGCTGAAATGATGGCATGGAGGGATATCAAAAGAGCTGTTCCAGGTAACCAGGGATTGTGATCTGTGGACACACATCAGCACCTACGCCAGTTGGCAGGGCACATAATGATAATTATCTTTCCCGTGGCCAGTTGCTGGGTGACAAAGCTACATCCTTTCAATCTACAAATTGAGGATAAAGTAGGTAGCTGCCACCACGTGTCAGAAGCAAAAATTTACCATGGTCAAAAGGAGTGAACCTGCCGATCCTCCAATTCGACCAGAAGTCCATCTGGAGAGAGAGAGACAGCAGTGATGAAAGGTATAGATTCTGGAAAACGAGGCACAA